ACGAGGCCCGTTTGCGTGCTGGAGGGCTTGGTCATCGAGGGCGGGTATTGTCCGGGAGGGTCGAGTCCGACGGTGAAGCTGGGCGGCTACTTTAGTCAGTCGTGGATCTTCATACACGTGAGGATCATTACCATTCGCAGCGCACTGTGCATACCTTTTGAACCAGCATAGGCTCCTCGTCCTCCGCTTTGCTATCCCAGTCCAGCTCGTATCGCCATCGCTTCTTCTCCGGGGGAAGGGGAAGACCACCGAATCCATTCTCTGACTGTGCCAGAGTCGACCCATTCGATAGAGACGAGTTATCCTCACTGATGCGTGACAACACGGCTAGGTCGGGCGGACCGTGGTTCGACGGGCGAGAGGGCGGCTGTCGCGACCATTCTTCCTGGGTGCTGGCCTCAAAGAACCCCGAACATTGCGCCAGGATCAGCCGATGAAGGAGGTATCGCTTCTCCTGGGAGCCTGCGCGAATGATGATCTCGACATCGCCGGTGTGAGTAAAGACCGGGAAGTCATTCTGGGACTGATGAGCAAGACCGCCATGATGCGAACGACTCGAGCGATGTCGTCGACTGCTGTGAGAGTGGCGCGAAACGGAAGACGGAGGCGCACTGGGCATCATCGCCACCGAGCGATCCACGATTTGGGCCTGGGAGACCATTTACGCCCGGCGTCAAGAGGAGATTGACATGTATAATGGCGTTGATGGAGGAGAGGGGGAGGGGAGATCTTGGTGGAGAGAAGATCAGGAGTAAATAATGGTGCTAGTAGGAAGATCCCCGCGATAAACGATAAACAACCGCAAGCGGATCGAGTTTCAGGTCTGGACTCGACCGCAACCGGCTGCAATCAAAAGAAATTGGTCCAGACGCGATGGCTTCCAGAGAGGACGAGAATGAAGAGCCAAACGAGGGTGGAAATCATGGAGGAGAAAGAAGAGAACGAAGAATGTACGGAGTATGTTTTTATTTTATGTCGCTGTGAATGCGCACATGAACGCCGCTGACTCATCCGGCTCTACAACTTCGACTTTCTTTCCATCTTCAACCTCGTCTTCTTCTCTTCTTCACCACCCTTCATTGCGATCTTCTCCCTTCCGATTCCTCTTCTCTTCCCACTTTCTTCTTTCATACGTCTCTGTCTCTACCATCCCTCCGAAAGCGATGTTCGATTGGGGGAGTCTCGCCGCCTCCACCGCCAGTTCTTCCTGACACCCTCTCGCCCAAGAATGGCCTGTCCGATGTTCGATCGTCCTCCCTGAATAGCCGTGTACCGTGTACTTCATCTTCTCTCGATAACTTACTGCCCCGTCATGACCAAAGGCTGCTACACCTGTCGCCGCCGACGCATCATCTGCGATAACGGCCGTCCCACGTGTCGGAAGTGTCGCGATGCGGGGAAGGAATGTCTGGGGTATCAGAAGCCCCTCGTGTGGGTGAAAGGAGGCGTCGCCAGTCGGGGAAAGATGATGGGCCGCAGCTTTGACGATGTGATGCGACCTGATCCCGGACAGTCCGGTGTACCTAGTGTCAATCCTCCTTCCAATGCTGTCACCCCCGCCTCATCAGAAAACGAACCACCAGCCCAAAGTCCTCCCGAGGAGGATACCCAGTCGGAGGATCGGAGTACCTGGATCACAGCGCAGAGAGAGGTCCATTTGCCGAACTACATCCCATCACCCCGGCCGCTTGTGGACCCTTTGTTCAAAGATCTAAGTCCGCTGTCGAGGTTCTACATTGACCATTGTGAGTAACTACCAGGACTCATTGGATCTACCTTGTCTAACAGTCCGCAGTCAACGAAAATCTCGTGGGCTATCTCACCCTCTATTCCAGCGTTCAAAACCCCTTCCGTGATCTCACCCTCCTGGTGGGCGACTCCCCCGTGCTGGCCCATGCCCTCGCTGCCACCGGCGCGTTGCATTATGCGATTCTCGCCAACTCGGATTTCTCCCCAATGCCATGGTCTTCCGACGGTACGGCCCTCACCAGTGCACTTCTTTCGCCGCAGGACGTGGAGCAGGCTGTGATCAGCACCATTTCACAGCGCCCGGCCTCCAAGGTCTACGAGCATTTTCTCACGTTCAAGCACCGCGCCCTTCGTCAGCTTGCGCGCGATGTCGGGGATTCCGTCATGCGGAACGACACTGGAACGCTCGCGGCAATCATGGTTCTGGCTCTTAGGGATGCCATCGAATCGGGGGACGGGGCATGGAAATACCATCTGGAGGGAGCAAAGAAAATCCTCAAAGTCCGGCAGCGAGGCAGCAACCCTGCCCAGGCCAACGGTATGAAGGAGTGGCTTGATACCTTCGCCGTCGACGGATGTCTAC